AGTCTCACCCAGCAGAACCAGTGCTTCAGATTATCTCCAACCAAAGAAGGCAGGATCATTTCCTGTGTATGTGTGTGTGTTTGCAAGATATGTCATGAACCGCTCAGCAAATCTGACTGACATTTACAGAAATGAATCACTGGATGAACATCTGGACATGACAGACTTTTGGTGTCAATCAGATTCAAGATGGCTGCTGCAGCCAACGGACCTTAAAAACACAAAAACTGCTGTAACTCAGTTAAATGTCCAGATTTGGTGCTAAAATTTGGTGTTGTAGTAGCTGAGACTGATCCACAGCATGTTCAGCCACTAACAGATCATTCAAGGATGCTGTTTAAAACTTTGCCGTTAACTATTTGGAGTCAACGCTGCCTGTCTGTTAGCAAAATATCTTGTGAGCTACTGGATGTATTTTAATGAAACTTTCAGATCATAATCAAAGAATGGACGCTTACAAATGGTTAACTTCTGGAGTCAAAGCAGTTCGTGATGGCCACCACAGCTAATCATAATTACTCAACACAAAAACAGCTATAACAGTCAGTTTGAAAGAAACTGAGCTAGAATTTGATGAGGTAGTAGCTGAGGGTCATTCAAAACATGGTTATTTTCAACTTTCTCCTTTTTCATCATCTCAGTATGAAACTCTGAAGTGGCAGGTGATAGGACGTGTGTTTTAGTTTTAGTTTAGTCCCTGAGGTCAAAAGGATTAAATATATTTCTCCCTTACATCCCATAATGAGTCATGAATAAAGGTTTGAGTGGAGTGTGGTCCATCTATAATTGGAGGTGAAGACCAACTCATTTGTCTGTGCTGCGATTGTTTCAAGACTTCTTGTACGTCTCTGCAAACACGTCTTGATCTGTTTCTTGTTCTTGCTGAGCAACTGTGTCTGCTGATGAAAAGTCTAGTTCCTGAAATGGTGTGAACACAAGATATCTGTTAAAACAAGAAAGATAAGTCAGGATGATCAGAGTTTAAGAACTGATACATGGGGGGGGGGTGGGGGGGTCCAGTTGCTTGTTGCACACGTTGTTTGTTGGCACTGAAACAAACTGTTTGTGTTTATTTACCATAAACTCTGTAAAGGTTGATGCTCCGCCTCTAGTGTGTTTTATTAAACTTCACCTGAGCAGCAGAGCATCCCCACACCATGATCAGACCGCCACCATGTTTCATGAAGGCTCAATGGTTGACCATCCATCCTTCCATTTGTCTGTCCATCCATCCATCCATCCTTCTGTCCATCCATCCATCCATCCATTCATCCATCTGTCCATCCATCCTTCCATACATTCATCTTTTCTTCCATCCATCCATCCATCCATCCATCCATCCTTCAGTCTGTCCATCCATCATTCTGTTCATCCATCCATCCATCCATCCATCCATCGTTCCATTTGTCTGTTCATCCATCCATCCATCCAACCATTCATTCATCCATCCTTCCATCATCCATCAATCTATCCTTCCATCTGTTCATCCATCTATCCATTCCTCCATCCATCCTTCCATCCATCATCCATCCTACCATCCAATCATCCATCCATTCATCCATCCATCCTTCCATTCGTCCATCCATCCATTCATCCATCCATCCTTCTATCCATCCATCCATCCATACTTCCATTTGTCCATCCATCCATCCATCCATCCATCCATCCATCCATCCATCC